AATGTGAATGTTTATTAAATGTTGACAAGAACAGTAAAACACAGTATCAAGATTCAGCAAAACAATCTATAGTACTTCACCAAAAAAAAAAAAAAAAGAAAAATAGAAAGAGAAAACAGAGTTAGTTCTGCGCTGGGAAAAAAAAGTTAGCGGGGCGCGGAAAAGGAGGATGAAAGTAAACAAAGAGAGGGAAATTTAGGAGATGGAAAAGGGAGCAAGGGTTGGCATCAGAGGCTAAGGCAATTAAGAAGGTACACTCTAAGAAATATAGAAGGTTTGGGGACCTGGGGGATCGATAAGGAGGGCGCTGATGCTTTGTAATGAGCGGGATAACTCAGATTGATTAGAGCTTCTGATTTCACTCTTTTATCTTCTCTTCCATTTGAGACTTGGCAAACTTCAGCAGGGAGAAAAAAAAGTGAGGAATGAGAGAGAGAAAGAGAGAGAGAAATCAAGGCATTAACGCAATAGAAACAAATCGAGGTGAGAGGGCGTGGAAAAATAATACACACTTAAATAACGAAGAGGAACACAGCAGTAACATATACAGAGTGCACAACAATATGAGGAGGTGGATGAACAGTTTGGGGCTGCAGGGTTTTAAGGGTACAGGCGCAGTTCAACACAGTAACCAGAAGGTGGTGTCCACTCTAATGAGTTCACAATCACAATAACTAATAGCTCATTAGAATAATGTAAATCTCTCTGTTATCAACACAAACAGCAGGGGAGGCTAGTTGTACATAAGCATCACATTAATTGTAAAATTCCACGTCGAGGCGCACTCGGTCTCCTGCTCTCTTGTCTGGCTCATGCACACACAGGCAAAGCACGTGCCTATATGCACATTATGTACACACACACATACTCACACATGTATACATTCACACCCCATTTCCAGCTCTTTTTCTTTGTGCCTTCTCACAATTAAAATCGAACTTGACACTCTGTGCCATAATAACGTTTTTTTTTTTTTTTTTTTTTTTTTTTGTATACTAGTGTCTGTGCTTTAATGAGAGGAGGTGGCTGTTTGAACTGTACACAGCCGAGGTGCCGTAGAAGCCCACAGTGGGTGGGGTGGTGTGGAGGGTGTGTGCGTGTGGTGGGGGGGGGATCCTTCCGAGAATCACCGGCGCTGACAGAGAACACTCCCAGCTGTTCCAAAATCAGAGGTATTCAGTGCAACGTTGTTTGGTGTTACACATGAACTCACTGTCAGCAGCGGCGGCAGCCTTCAGCCTTATATTTGATGCACCCCTCTCCAGTGTCATGTGACTTTATTTTTTTTTTTTTTTACCGGAAAAGGTCAGATACATCCTGCAAGGCAGCTAATGTTCTTTAAAAAAATGTGTCTCACTTTGTTCTTTCAAATAAAAGATTTATGTCTGTGCTGCAGATATGAACCAGAGTGTGCTTGAGGGATCATCACAGTCCTGTTTTAGTTCATTATTCCACCTTCAGAGCAGCGAGAGCCACTCCCTACTGCATATCATGTAGAAAAGAAGGACAAGTTCATCTTTTGACTTTAAACTGGTGTATTTTTGTTCAGTCCATGTGCTTAAGCTCTCTTTGTGTTTTAGCATAGTAAGAAACAAATCACATGCTCTGAAAGCCATACACACTGTACAGGAAAATCTACAGATATTTTAAAGCTTTTCTTACATCATCCAAATAATGCTGATTAACTGAGTAAAAAGAAAAAAAAAAGATTGTTACAACTGCAACATTTTCCATCTATATTGCCTCTGTTTTTCTTGTGATTTTTTTATTGTTTCCTCACTGCTTTTCTTCTTATTTGCTTTAGGCAGATTTGACTTCCTCCGTGACTGTTTGCAGAATTTCTGCTCCGAATGGAAAAAAAAGTGGTGAAGAGTGTCAAATCTAGTTTTACAACGTTCAGCAGAAAGCATGTCCCGCACAAAAATACTCCATAATCTTCATCTGAAAAGAGGAGAAACATTACAAAACAAGGAGGAATCAGAAAATTTGAAAAGGCAGGGTGTAATATATATATATTTATATATATTTTAGCAACTCTCGTGTTAGTGGAAAATATTTTCATATTTCTTTTTCTTTGTGTCGTAGAACACATTTAACATGCCTTACAAATGTTTTCAAGACTTACATGGACAAAGCAAAGGTATCCCAACCATGCATGTGTTGCTTTCTGTTTGTGCTTTACATTTTACTCGATCTAGTCACTTCTCTAAAATAATGCCAGAAAACTGATAGTCTTGGGGAGTTTAGTCTGTCTGTCTTTCTGTCACACATGCTCTCGCTCTCTCACACCTACACACACCAAGTGCTGGGTTTCCATCTGTGAGCGCTGCATCAGTTGGCCAGTGCTCAGCTGGCAGGCAGATCAGACAAAGTGCCCAATATGCTCCCTAATGGCCCAAGTCAGATGAATGAGATCCTCCGCTGTCTCGTTCTTTTTCCTTGTTTTCTCTTCGTTTTTGCACCTCCTTCTTCCCCAACTACCCTTTGATGCACCCTGTCCCTCTTTTCCTTCAACCAATTTAACTCTCGTCAGCTCGTTGCCTCGTTTTCGCCGTCTCCCTCTCATTATCGGAGGACGCGCACTTCTTGTCACTAACCTGCTGGGTCTCATTCATTCCAACAAAATGATGTGCACCAGTACGCATTTCCTTCTCACACAGGAAACCCAGAAGGTTGTATTTCTGGCTCGTATTTTGTGAAGGGTTTGCCTTGTTCTGTTATGTGTGATTGAACCCTCTTCGCTGTAAAAGCAGTGACAGAAGAGCACTGAGATTGGGCCCGTATTTGAACTATGCCAGCACAGATGGGAGGTCAGAGTCATACGTCAGGAGAAAATTATTGGTACAGCACACTGCAGGCGATGGTTGGACCCCCACATCAGACTGAGTACATTTGCAGGAGTGGACGGTGGACTCCAGGGTCTGATATGCTGTTTTTGTAAATGAAAATATATAAAACTGGGGCATCACGGTTGGAAAATTCCTTAAAGAATGATATTGCATGGAGGATTAGGACAGTTAGCAAGACTATTAGCTGAGTGATGAGAGAGGAGGACATCATGAGGCAAACTGGGGAGTCAACTAAAGTAAAAATATATATTTATATAAGGAAAATAATTAAAAGTACTGAGACAAGTAAATCCATCTAACGCTCAGAAATTGTGGTTTGTAATGCTTCAAAAGTGTCTTCTTTTTTCCTCTTCTTTCTCCTTTCTGAGTTTTATTTATTCTCAAGGTCGCGGGTGGGACGTATCTTCATCTCTGAAAACTTGAGGGAATACTGCCAACCAGTCCAGGAGGACCACTCGATGCCATCGGCGTAGGAGGTGTGCTGGCCGCGCAGGTACTGGCCGTTCAGGTTGGATGTGTGGCAGTTCCGATACCACCACGCGCCATGGTAAAACGAGGCACAGTTGTTCTCCGAGTGGTCGTTGTCCTTGTCTTTAGTGGTGAACTTCATTCCATTGTGCTTCAGAAGAGAATCACCTTAAAAAAAGAAAAAAAAACTAAATTAAACCAAAATTTAAATAACCAGTACAGATAAATAATATGCCATGCTTTGTATGATTTGTCTCATCATTGGTTGATGGAAACAAGATCTTACAAACAAGAATAGATGAACTTTTAAAAATGTTTTATTAACAAAGCAACACCAGTCTTTGGTATGATATGACCATAAAGAAATATCTTTACTGACAAAAAAAATTAAGTACCCAGAAATAATGATTTGGATGCATTTTGTTCTGTGAGCTAGGTGAACATACATAACTCTCCATTCTGAGGGGTAAATAGTTCTAGTTTATTCTACATGTGAACCTGAGCACTAACATGGCCTTCGGTCCAGTCTATAAAGCTTGAAACTCCGGACTACTCCAGACATTTTGAATTAAGAAAGCTTCCTAGATGTGAAGCAAAACATATTCAGCTTCAGAATAGAAGTCATTTTTTATTCATTTTGGATGGGATCATTACTTTAGGCTTTAAGCATTAAGGAAACCAATGGCAACTATAGCTATGTTTACATACACAAAATGTTTTAATCGCATTGAAATGTATTCAGATTAAATAATCCGAATGTACTGTTTACAYGGACACAATCCGATCATGAAAAGTGTTTACATGCACCGGAGTTTTATTCAGAATAAAGGTCCAGACATGCGTAGTGTTGTAAACTTTCAGCTCTACTTCCGTGTTACAAACGTAAACAAAGCTCCTCTGTGCGCTCAGGACGGACACGTGTCAGCTTTTAATAATGGTAGAGACGTCGTTACTCCTCGGTTGAGCTGCAGCCTGCAGATGAAGCAATACCTGCTTTTTATTTTTATTTTTTGCGAAGCAACATCTGTTGTTTGCCTCCTTTTTCATCTGTTAAGAGAGCGTGGAGGAAAAGTTCTGTGCGGTGTGCAGCGCAGCTGGAGCGCTGCTGTCCCACCGGGCGAATGAAAGTCAGAAGACATGCGCACACAGGTCAGTTTTCTACAATAAGAATAAGATGATCAGATTAAATGTTTACATGAACCTCATTCCGATTATCAATCGGCATAACCCACCCTTTTCATTCGGATTGAAAATTCATTCGGATCGAGCTCAATCGGATCAGAATAAACGGAACGGACGCATTTTTATTCCGAACGGCTGTTTAATCCGATTACGTTTGTTCATGTAAATGTAGCTTATGTCTACGATCGAGACACAAGTACTACAGCCCATGTCATCCTAGACTGTGTCAGGATGATTGGCATCAGAGAGGTTATGTGTTAACTATCCCATGTGCAAGCTTCCATTAACACCAGAGCAGAGATGACTACATTTGGAGTGGTGCTGTAACACAGAGGGTGGATGGATGACCACTGTGTGCCTGTATGACAGCGCAGAAGGGAAAGGGCCAATGTGGCTAATGTTGTCAAAATTTACACCATTGCTATTCCTGGCCTCATGGTGTGGGAATCTGCAGGGTATGACTTCAGGTCATCTCTGGAAGAAAAACTTGAGGATCCTATCGCCACAGTACTATGTTAGTAACATTCTACATCCACATGCCTTACCCGTCTTGAAAAAGCACCATGTAACAGTACTTGAACAATACAATGCCCAGCCACACATGACATGCTGCTATGTTCAGCCTGTGTCAGTGACCTGCTTGTTAACCCCATTTTTTCCTCAATCAACCATATATGGTATCAGTTTGCATCGTCATTTCTGACCTCAACGGCCAATTACAACAGATGTGGGTCAACTACAAAAAAAAAAAACAGCTGTATGACTCAGTTTGACATTGAGGGCACTGAAGCACCACACCCTACTGACATGGGCCACCAGTATGCCTCCACTGCTAACTTTGTAATGCATTCGATCATATTTTAATGATTGTTTCACACGATTTTTCAATATGTGCAGATTTAATTCATTTCCACTCCTTCGTCTGGGTGCTCAAGTTTCTTTTGCTTTTGGTCAGTGAGTGTGTATTCATAAGAAGTTAGCTTCAAAACACTGTAAATTTTGCATAGTTTGAGATAAGAAAAAAAATAGAAGGAGGCAAAAGAATCAAACATTAAACTCCACATACACAAGATTTCTTCTCATTAAAGCGGGAGGTCAGGTAGCTTGGCAGCCAATTCATCAAAGTTTCTCGTGTGACCTTTATGTCTGACTAACCCACCCCTTTGATGATTTTACCAAGTTGTCAGCTGGTGGTGTTGTAATGATTATGTAAATATTTTAGGGCGGATAGAAAATAAGCATTTAAATGCCAGACCTAAACAGACATCTTATATTTCGGTTGCTCTCTTTTGGCCATTTTTCTTCTTCAGGTACTAAAAGCTTTAAAAGCATAATCAATGAGAGGGCATTCTTTCCTCCAACCTACATTTGTGAATATGACATTGATGTAAGACCTCTGCAGGGATGCGGCACAGCCAAGTGCCCTTAATCATGGTCTGGATGCTAAGTCTGATCCACACAATCAAATTGCTGAGCTGGAAACATCTTCCCACTATATAAAGATTTCTCACTGGCAAATTCTCAACAATGATAACCACTTTTAAAGCCACTGCTCTCACAGACTTAGAAGTACAATAAAAGTAACAAGATCGCACATACTGCAGTAAGCCAGATGTTTTTTTCTTTTTGTTTTTTTTTTTACAAATGGATGTTCAAAGAGCTCATAATATGCAATAAACTCCCCATACCCTCCCTTCATTCACTTCCCTCTTCTTTTTTTTCTCAAGCTGGTTTCGCACTGTGACTGGAAGAAAAAAAGAAGAACAAAACTGTGTGCAGAATGAAAGACTGCTTACCAGCTATCAGGTGATTGCTAACAGCTCATGAGGGCATCAAACAGCCCTTAATTGCCGGGGATGTGGCCGCCCAGCTCCTTACCCTCTCACTCTGTCCCACTCTACTCTCCATTTGGCATTACTATGGTAACCACTCAGCTGGAAAAATAATTTGACAGCCACGTCTCATACTCGTGTTGTGAGCTGTTTGACAGTAGCAGGGAAGAGATAGTGGATGAGAGGAAGAGGAAGGGACAAAAAATAAAATAAAAAAGAACCCCAGTGGTCTTAACAATACAATGATGTCCAGAGGGTGTGAAAAAAAAAAAAAAACAATAGTGGCACTTAAAAGCTCATTTACAAGGCACTGGGTGTCACCTTGGTGGCTGGGGGCCTGCAGGCTCCTCTGATGCCCATTAGGATCCAGTGGCTCCCAGTGCAAATGAGCACCTGCCAGCTAATTGGACAGCAGCAAAGCCACTGCAAAAAATGTCCACCAAACCAAGTTTTAAAATCTTATATCCAGCCAAAAAAGTATTTTGATCTTGTTTTGAGACTGATTTACTAAACACGAACTGATTGTGTAAAAATGACAATCTTGTTTTCAGAATTTGTAAGATTATTTGTCTTGTTAGCTTGAAAATTTGTCTCAAATTAAGTTAAAAAAATTCTGCCAGTGGAGTAAGAAAATTTTACTTGGTAAGATTCTTGAAATAAAAAAAAGTCAAATCAAGTATTTTGGGATTATGAGCATCACAAGAGAGCTCAGGATCCCTTAATTTGAAGCAGGCGAACAAGGTCAAGGTTAGGCCAAGATGTGGACAATCCAGGTGCACAAAGAGACTTACCGCATATAAACAACATATATGCATGCTAATAATTTTTCTTCCCCTGTGTTTTTTTTATTTAAACAATGTTCTGCATATGCTCAAGTGCTTTTAGCCCCCCCCCCCCACCCCCCTCCACGCACACACTTATCCTCCAACACCTGTTTCCTTCCCACCACTATCCTAGTTTTCTTCTGGCCCACCTCCTTCCTCTGTACGCCTCGTCTCTGCTGCATCTCTCATAAGTGTCCCAGTTCTCTCTGTGCTCTCAGTGCAGTACTCCCCACAGCTTCTTCAAACGGCTTCTTCATTTCAGTGGCAGGTTTTTGTTTACGCTGCAGGTCAAGCAGCGCAATTAATTGGCAGTAATTTAATCAAGGTGACAAGGAGCAGACTTGGATCTGATGTTTAGGGAGCAGAGACACAGACGCGAGCTGCACCCTCTTCTCTGTGCAATCGACTGCACGGTTTTAACGAGTCGTCACGTCTCCTGCACTGTAAAAAGAACTTGTTGCTGTTCTGCTTGGATGCGTAATGTAAATAGAGTTGACTGGGGGTGTCACCCAATTGTGAAACAAAAATGTCAAATTCGAATCAAAGCTTAAGCACGGCACACCTCACAAAGAAAAAAAATGTCAATGAGTTCTTCCTGTCGTGTGTATACCTGCGTTGCCGGAATAGTCGCCAACAGTCAAAGGGTATCCATCATCATCAGGGTCCACTGAGAAGAGACCCACTCCAAAGGTACCATAATGGGCGTATGCTGTGCTGTTTTCAAAGTCCTCCAAGTCGATACGTAGCTCATAGTTGCCCTGAATGGACAGGGCATGGATCTGCTTCAGCCCTGCAGGGAAAAAGAGCGAGACACAGAGCAAAACAATCCATTACTAAGTACCACACTTGTTCTCTGCAGACAATATAAAGCTATTTCAGTCCTCTCTCCCTCTCCATACATTTTCTGGAAATAAGATATGAGATCTGTTTTGTTCCATTTAGCCTTCCTCTGCATGTGTAAGATTTCCTCCCAAAACAAGATTAGAGATTGTTGGAAATAATGCGTGTAGAGTGTCTGCCAGTTGCACAGCTGTTAGAGGTGAAGCTGCAGACCTGCTGTTACTACAGAATCCATCACTGTATGGGATCCTAAATTACAAAGCCAATTAACCTTTCTTCACACTAAGCAGCATTGAAACTCCGAGTTTTAGGTTCTATTAAAAGATTAAAAGTTTGTTGTATGAATTTTTAACATGCTCTTATCTGTTCAGAATTATAGGTAATCTAAATGACTCAAAGCTTTGATGCCATGGTGATCTGTGTTATCATAATCCAGGGTGGATTTTGCAATTTATAATCCTTAAAATCCCAAACTACTTCATCAGTTGTTCCTTCTTTACAGGTTGACACAGCAAGTTATCTAACTCTGTCCGCTTCATCTTCTGTCATCACTCTAAGTAGCTCCATGTTCTGAACGGCATCCATATAGCTCCTATTTGGCCTTCCTCTTTTTGTCTTTTTCCTGGCAGCTGAATCTCTAACATCTTTCTACCAATATACCCACTGTCCCAACACTGTACATGTCTAAACCATCTCAGTCTGGCCTTTTTAACTTTATTTCTATGTTGTTCAACCTGTGCTGTATCTCTGCTGATCTCATTCCTAATTTCATCCATCCTTGTCCCTCCCAAGGAGAACTTTAACATCTTCGGCTTAGCCACTTCCAGTTCTGTTTCCTGTCTTTTTGTCAAAGCCACTGTCTCCAAACCAAAAAACATTATAATCATCCTAAACAGTATATACAGTGGTTTGCAAAAGTATTCATACCCCTTGAACTTTTCCATATTTTGTCACATTACAACCACAAACATAAATATATTTCACTGGAATTTAATG